ATATATGTATATATATATATATACATATATATATATATATATATACATACATACATACATACATATATATATATACATACATACATACATATATATATATATATATACATACATACATACATACATACATACATACATACATACATACATACATACATACATACATACATACATACATAGATATATATATATATATATATATATATATATATATATATATATATATATATATTTCTATGTATGTATGTATGTATGTATGTATGTATGTATATATATATATATATATATATATATATATATATATATAGACACACACACACATCCATCCATCCCAAAAAGCATAAGGGATATTTTGGTAGTTCCTCCTTGTTTTTCTGGACGACAATTGTTCTGACATTTTCTCGTTCACTGGCACAACTCCAGACCACACAATTGCATTGTGCGATAACAGTTTTATCTTGGAAGGAGAGCATCCACGTTCGCGAGTGTGGTAGGTGAGCATTACTACCTTAAGGAAAGCTTCGGCAACTCTGCTTTCCTTCTTTTCTTCTAGTTTCAGGCAATCTCAAAGCTCCCTACTCAGGCGGAGTTCATTGATGCGTTGCCTTAGACTCTAGATGCTACTCTATTTTCTTTATCATTATTGTAAAATCTAAATAGTTTATGAATTTAGAATATTATATTCTTGTTTATGGGCCGATATCCAGCGGGCGGCCCAAATTGATCATCCAACAGACTCTGGGTCAAGCGCATGGTAAACACTTGAACCTGGGCCCGCCCATAACACGGGGCCCAGACCACTTCAACCCAAAAGACAGCTGGTAGAGCCAATCCGCAGGAGGAAACTCAGCTGAAGAACGGAGATGAAGCCGAAAAAAGGGGATCGCGCCATCGATGGAGTGGACTCCCTTTGATTATAATTACCTTAATTATCAAAAACCCATGTATAAATAGAGGGGACCCGAAAGGGGGAATCTCAAGCTAAATCAAGCTAGTAATACACACAGATAATTCTCGAGTTCTTGTTCTTATTTCATTTCTTGTGATCCATCCTATTAGCGTGACGGAGGCGAAGGCCCTCATCCAGAGTGTTGGGATCACTGCAGAGCAGTTCAAGGAGGTGTTGGTGGCCTTGACCCCAAATCGCGAGGTTGTGGTGGAAGACGCGACTGGTGAACCCGCAGGAGGAAAGGCTGGACCTGCGGGCTCGGGGGGAAAGAAGAAGAAGAAGGTAAGGCGGTCCCAAAAGAAAAAGGCGACCAAGCCCAACGGTAAGGCGAGGGTAGAGGACGAGTTGTTTAGATTGGACGAGGAAGATGGGTCGTCCTCCTTTGAGCGGGTGTCAGCCTTCAATCGGTTGGGGGATCCCAAATCAAAGAAGCCCCGAACCTCAGCATTCGATTGGCTGCAGGACACTCGGTCAGCTCGCAAGGGAGACCTGAGAGAGACACTCCAGGAGAGGAGTGTCCTCAGCAACCTCTTAAATCGGCTCAGAAGAGCGACGAAAGGCGATCGAGGACAAAGAAGCGGTCGAGTTATGGAGGATGTATGAGCGTTTGGAGAAGCGGTTGGATGCCCAGAATCCGTACCGCCAGGCAGTCTTCAGCAAGGTAACGCCCTTCTTCAGGAGGATAATGTTTTGTCCTCTCCTGGACAATTTTAAGACCCCGCAGGTCAAATCATACAACAGGAAGACTGATCCTCAGGATCACCTCGCTCGCTTCGGGGCGAATGTGGTTTTGTATGCGTACCACGAAGAGATTAAATGCCGATGCTTCCTGGCGACGTTGGAGGGACGAGCTTGTGAATGGTTCCATAAGTGGCCCAAAGGGTCAACCGACAAGTGGAGCGACCTGGCCCACAAAGTTTTGAAGCACTTCGCATCTAGCCAAAGACAGAAGCTCCCGTTCTTGCACTTGCTCAATGTTAAAATCCGGAAGGGGGGGCAGCTTTGGGAATTTATCAACAGGTGGGAGAAAGAGGCTAGGGACGTCCAAGGGGCGGACGACCAGGCCTTGATCACCATGCTCCAAGCGGCACTCCCTCAAGGGGATGTGCGTGAGGAGCTGCGACAGAATCCGCTCTCGACCTACCAGGAGATGCTAGCCAGGGCGAAGTATCTGGCATTGGAAGAAGAAGATGACGAGCCACCCGTCCGAAAGAGGAAGAAGAGCGGACAACCAGTGGCAGAGGGAAGAAAGAGGAAGGATTTTGGTAGGGGACCAAACCCTACAGGATATCAGGGGAGCAGACAGCTTGTTCATGCGGTACAGTCCCTGCCAGCCCCTCCCTGAAGTCGAAAAAGCTACAGCGTCCAAGACGCACCCAAGTACTGCGAATACCATCGTAACACCACCCACAACACGTTTGGTGGTCCCAAAGTGATGAGATACAAAGTCTAGAGGGGGGGTGAATAGACTTTGTTACAGGTTTAAAATCTTTTTTGTTTCTTTTGAAAACGAGAAAATGAGTGTTAATCTAGAGTCCTTGTGAACTTTAGATTGTGTGCGGAATTTGGTGGGTGGAGTGAGCAGTAATCAATATGGATAGGTTAGTTTTCTTCACAGTTAATATAATTGCAAGTAAGAATAAAGATAAGAGAGAGAGACACGCAAACTTTAACGAGGTTCGAAGGTGGGGTAATCCTTCTACGTCCTCAAAATCCACTATGTAGTTGGTTGTTGAATAATGAACCAAGAGTTACACTTTTGTGAATTTCTGCACGGTATATCTTCACAATACCAATGTTACTACTGCACTCGTGCTGGCTTTGTTGTTCCTTCGAAGGTCAAGCTTCTTCAACAACTGCAAGATCCGAACAATAGGACTTGCAAGATCAACTTGAGAGAGAGTTGACCTACCCCCTTTTAATCAATAAGTTTGATCAAAAGTAATATCCTTCAACGTGGTGTGGTGCTTGAGGCAAGGAAACCTTCAAGTTTTACACTATAGCTTTTTGGAAGGAGGAGAAGTTTGCTTCTGGATAAGGAGTTTAGAAATCTCTCTTTATCAAGCTTCTTGGGCTAACTGTGAATGAGATAGCTTTAGTGATTGCTTCGTTGTGTTGTTGTATCAGCGTATCTCATCGTACTTTCTCCAGTCTTCCAAGGATGCTATTTATAGCTGGATTGGATAATCTATCCGTTGAATTAAAATGGACTATCCGTTGCATTTGCTGGCTTCAATTTTGAATGAAGATTGTGATTTGAAGATTCTTCGTTGAAGTGGGTGTTTGGACTTACCCAATTGTTGAGAAAGGATTCC